ATTGTGGGACATGTAGTTTATGGGCAACCTGCTTCTGTAAAGTGGCATGTAACCGTGTAATAAACGTATTATATTCTTTGCAAGCTCTTGCGGGCCACATAAAAGGAAGTTGCGGGCCGGATTTGGCCCCCGGGCCTTGAGTTTGACACCCCTGATCTAGAGAATTCGAACGGCACTTATCATGGCTGCCACTGAGGGACTTCCGGGTCATTTCACTCGGTTAGGAAGGTTCCTAAGCTAAACGGACTATTCGACTGCAGCCCAAGCCCCAGATCTATTTTTACTTTTTCACTCCCTGTGCCACAAATGTCCAATACGCAGTCAGACTAAAAACGTATTAACATATATGTTTAAGTAGATACATGTGTAGATATTTGTCATTTCAAACAACCCCAATGTACTTTTTCGTTTTTATTTAATTTTTATTTGACATTTTCGGGTCTCTAGAAATATATGATTTGCAAAACTGTACATTTAATATAATGTGACCCCAAATACATAAAGAATAAAACGTATTAACAGACTTTGGGGTATAAAATAGGATTGAGTTAAATACCCGTCCTCATCAGATCTTACCTCTACACGGAGCTGGAGGACTGATCAGCTGCTGACAGTAGATTATAGATGGTGTGGCCTTCTCGAGTGTTGGCTGTTAAGTGACTTTCTCTTCCAGGTGATGCTGGCCGTGCCCCTTTAAAATATATCATTACATAGTCTCTTAATAATCCACAGATGGAAAATAACAAAGTAAATAAATCAGATTACTCATGATCAACAGCAGTGACATTGATTTAAATGGATTTCTTGATGCTTTTAATTAGTTCAATTCAATTGTAAGACACCGGAATAAGGACACACATATATCTTGACAACGTTTTTGAGTGACAAGAGGAAGCTGGTCTTATTACCTGTGTACTTATAGATGCACCAAACGCCCCCCATCAGACTGACCCCCATCACAAAGGCAATGAAGACGGCGCCCATCAACATTCCTGTCTGTTCTACCGCGCCTGGAGACACAAATCAAATCAAAAGGAAAGCCCACAATACCGATGGAAAATAGACTTGTGCTTGGTCTAAATCTGCGTATTCTTGTACTTACAGTTGCTGTGTTCAGTGCAAAAGAGCGTCCCGATGCAACATATGGCTAAATGCACAATCAGTACCTGAATGGTGCTCTCATAACGGACGAAAAGTTGAGCAGCACTACAGTAGGCTGCACTATTTCTATTTTATTTGTATTTACTTGCAGATCTCAAATCATTCTCTTGCACTTTTTTTATCTGGTTTATTTGTTTTATGTCCTACATATATTCATGTTGCACTGTTGGAGGAGCCTGTGACTTCAGTTTTTCATTATCTACACTGTAGCTACTGTGCACATGACAATAAGGCCTTGAATCTTGAATCTTGGTGTCGTAAAGAAGCCACCATTAATCTTATTGGGTTGATGGGGCAATCTGTAATGATTTGCTAACACGAACATACCCTTTACTGGCTAGCTAACAGCACCAATTTTCATGGCAGTGTACTTAGGAAATAATTGAGACAGAGCAACAGTTATTTTAGGGGTACCAAACTTTTTTCACCGAGGGCCACATACAGAACAATATACGAAGGGCTTGGCCGCTCAGAGGTGTATCGCCTCATAAGTTCAGTTATAAGTTAGCAAAATAAATCAAATGTAGGTCAATTATTCTTGTGAGTGTCAGCTCATCCCTTAAAACAAAAGCCTCAGATTGATTATCATAAGGAAAAATATGAAGCATATATTTCAAGCTTGTTATGTAAATAAGTCATTGGAAAATGTTTCCAACTTTAATTTACTGAATTTATTTGAAAAGTGGTCTTTTTAACATGAATACTACTGTGTAATATATTTTTACATTTATAGTTAAGAAGTACAATATAAGACAAGCACAAGTTTCATTTGTGGACCATATTACTACTATACTTTTTGGATTTGCTGAGGGCCGATTCAAAATGGTCCGCGTGCCGCATTTGGACCCCGGGCCGTAGTTTGGACATCCCTGCTCTAACAGTATCATTGATACATTGAGCAGATGTGATACTCACTGCTGTGCTCGGGTTCTGGACTGGTCATTGGGGAAACACTCAGTCTCTTGGGTGTTGGTCCAACAGGAGGATGCAGAGGTTTGGGTGCTAGTGAGCTGATGGGCACGGTGACCACCATCGGCCTGGAGAGGTTTCTGATCTCACACTGAGGAGAGGGACAAGGCCTCTGTGTTATTTACATGGTTTGCAGTGCTATGCCACCAGCAGGATAACAGTGTTACAAAGCCCCAACTTAATTCTGATCGGTCGATTTGGAAATTCAGTAGTCTGTTATTTTTTGTATTGTAGCAGTTGGTTAGCTTGGATTAGCCAAACGTCGCCTTATCGGTCTTTATGATAAACTAAGTTAAGCTAACTGTCTGCTAGTCAGAGGTGGGAGAAGTACTCAGGTCTTGTTCTTGAGTAAAAGTAGAAGTACTCAGATCTTGTTCTTGAGTAAAAGTAGAAGTACTCAGATCTTGTACTTGAGTAAAAGTAGAAGTACTCAGATCTTGTACTTGAGTAAAAGTAGAAGTACTCGGAACTTCTACTTGAGTAAAAGTAGAAGTACTCAGATCTTGTACTTGAGTAAAAGTAGAAGTACTCAGATCTTGTACTTGAGTAAAAGTAGAAGTACTCAGATCTTGTACTTTAGTAAAATAGAAGTACTCAGATCTTGTTCTTGAGTAAGAGTAGAAGTACTCAGAGTGTAGGAATAGGAACGTGCCATCAATTTAGTTTAATATAATATTATAATTATTCCCACAATTACAAAAGCAACACATAATCTTTAGATAATGTGTATTAGACACTGATGTTAGACATTTGACCCCCTTTGAGGTGTATCCGTGCACGAGCAAAAACGGTATTTATATTCCACGCATACTTTCTGATTTTTGGATGCGAAACCGGGAAACGCTGATACATATTGATCTCTGCTGTAGCTATAGAAGCTTTCCTCCAAAGATGGCCGCCACGAATGCACCGCAGTTCCACTGAAAAAACTGAAACGTTGACTTCAACTTGTCGACATCATACATTTCATTTCAGCTTCTCTTGGACTTAAACTCCCAAGTTTGTATTTCCACATTACTTTTTTAATGCTATTTTAATTTCCATTTGAGATGTTTCCATTTTGGATTGTTTATTTCAAGTCTTTTAATTTCTCTTACGTCCAATGCCTTGTCTTTGTAAGCTGCTGCAAACATTTCACACATTGGATTATCTTATCTCATTTCAGTTGTCTCAGCGCATTCCCTCGGGCATACAGAGGATGGCTGGTTTCACGCCCGGCAGCATCTGAACCGGATCAGTTTGTGGAAAGCGCGTTTAAAGTCCTCGTTGGACATGGTGTAAATGATGGGGTTGATCAGAGAGTTGAGGTATCCCAGCCAGGTGAAGATGTCGAAAAGCCCCGGGTGGAAACAGGAATCACAGGCGGAAACTACCAGGGTGTAGATGAAGAACGGCAGCCAGCACACGATGTACGCGCCCAGAATGATCCCCAAAGTCTTGGTGGCTTTCCTCTCTCGGGCGGCGGAGATTCTCTTCTTCTCCAGCAGCGCGTCGGACACCGTGACCTTCACTTGACTCACAGAAGTGTCGCAGGAAGACGCGTCGTTCGTCCCGTAGTTTAGAGACGTGCTGGAGGCCACGGATCCAGGAGAGTCGGTGATGAGGTGAGCCGACGTGAGTCTCTTTCCGGGCTTTTTGTTGTTGCTCGACTGCTTGAGGATTCGCTTCCTGGCTTCCACGTAGATCCGCCCGTAGAGCGCGATGAGCAGCAGCGTCGGGATGTAAAAGGCCCCGAAGGTGGAGTACACGGTGTAGAAGATGTGGTCCGTGTTCACGTTACAGCTCGTCACCTCCTCCTCCACCTTCACCTGCACAGGGGAGGGAGAGGGGATCAGATGGTGTTCTTACAGGTCTCCTATCATGCAACATGCACTCTGATGTCTTCTCTACATCAACATGTGTCCCCGGTGTGACCCCAGTGTGTCCCCATGTGTCCCCATGTGTTCCCAGTGTGACCCCGGTGTGTCCCCGGTGTGTCCCCGGTGTGTGTTCCCGGTGTGACCCCAGTGTGACCCCGGTGTGTCTCCGGTGTGTCCCCGGTGTGTCCCCATGTGTCCCCATGTCTCCTCGGTGTGTCCCCGGTGTGTCCCCGGTGTGACCCCGGTGTGACCCCGATGTGTCTCCGGTGTGTCCCCGGTGTGTCCCCGGTGTGTGTCCCCATGTGTGACCCCGGTGTGTCCCCATGTGTCCCCAGTGTGTCCCCGGTGTGACCCCGGTGTGTCCCCATGTGTCTCCCGTTCCCCCCGGTGTGTCCCCAGTGTGTCCCCGGTGTCCCCCCGGTGTGTCCCCGGTGTGACCCCAGTGTGACCCCAGTGTGACCCCGGTGTGTCCCCGGTGTGACCCCAGTGTGTCTCCGGTGTGTCCCCATGTGTCCCCATGTGTTCCCGGTGTGTCCCCGTGTGTTCCCGGTGTGTCCCCGGTGTGTCCCCGGTGTGACCCCGGTGTGTCTCCGGTGTGTCCCCGGTGTGACCCCGGTGTGTCCCGGTGTGTCCCCGGTGTGTCTCCGGTGTCCCCCCGGTGTGTTCCCGGTGTGTCCCCGGTGTGTCCCCGGTGTGTCCCCGGTGTGTCCCCGGTGTGTCCCCGGTGTGTGTCCCCGGTGTGTCTCCGGTGTGTCCCCGGTGTATCAGGAGACTCACCAAGTGTCAGAAAATAAAACCCTCTCTCTTTCCCTCCGTACCCACATCTCTAAAAACGGGGGAACAACGGAGCTGATCCAGATTTGCTGCGTCATGACGTAATGTCGGGTTTAAATTTGAAGCTACTAACCCAGAATCAGCACTTCAGTAACAGGGCTGAAACAGATATGAGGGATTTCTAAAATGCATGAGCTGTTTGGTGTTTTGAGCAAAACACATCATAGACATGTTTTTTATATATTTGTATATATTTGAGACCAGAG